ACTTCTGGTTTTGATTGGAGTAATGCCACAGTGAAAACAGAGGGCAATCAGCCTGAATGCAAATTCTAATGCAGAATTCAGTATAATTGAGCAAGATTCAGGGTAGGCAACCAAAAATGTAGCTGGATCTGAAAACATCCTTGTTGCTCACATGCAGGAGATAGTGTTCCGAAGCTCAACTGAATTACCCAGATGTGCTGCCTAGCTGGCACAACTGCCGTACTCAGCATTCAAGCTGTGAACAAAAGTTGGAGTCCGGGCACTGCACCCTCCTCAGAAGAAGAAAAAAATCAGAACAGGCTGCCTTGAACATGATCATCACTCATGTGGCATATTAACAGCAACCACTAGCAGTGAAACAATAATTACATCACCTGTGATGCACTGCAGTTCCAAAAGCTCAGACTCAAGTAATCACACAAGGCATACTGTGCTCATTTTGCATATGCTTCACTTGTTTGTTCCTGTGTTCTGCCTAACTGATACATCTGCCATGATATAAAATTATAGACCACCATTCAAAGAGTCAGGATGCTGCACCCCCTTCAGAAGAAAAAAGATTCAAATCAAGCTGTGTTCAGCTTGATCCCACTCCTGTGGCATGCCAGCAGTAACCGCTGTAGGTTTGAGTACGTGAAAGGATAATTAGGCGCCCGTGATGCGCCGCAATTTCAAAAACTGAAAAAATGAACAAGGCGCTAAGTCAGCCTAGCTGGCATATCTGTCATAATAGTGGTTAAAATCATGGGTAACCATTAAGCGCTGGTGGTGCGCCCTAGTTTCAGAAATCTGACTCAATAAATGCAAAAGGTGTATTGTTCGCCTTCAAATAAGAATGAAGAAGAGTAGAACACAACATCAATCTTGGTTTTAAATGCCAGCCCCATTAATGTGCTCCTATCCCAGCCTTCCGAGAAACAGAATGTAGCTATTAAAAGCTCATTTGCTATTCTATGTGGAATCGTTGCTGTCTGTGCCCTTAGCTGTTTCTGATGCCTCCACACCCATCATTCAAATGCACAAGTCTAGTTAGATAAAACAACGAATATTGAGGTCGCCGTCATGAGGAGGATTAAGGGATGGAGATAAAAAAAAGCCTTCAATGTGATGAAGGTAGAGTGTAGTCTGTTGGCAGATTGACTAGTTGACCAGATCCGGCAAAACCGTTGAGCAACTAGCTGGATCCGCGTCCATCCATCATCAGCCTCCTCTGGTGGCTTTCATACCGTTCAGCGATGGCCGCTGTCGCTTGTTTTGATATTAGAGTTCGAAGCAATGCGACTGGGAGCGAAGGGATGTGTGCAAGGGAAGTCGCTGCCTGGAACTGCAAGCGTGGGTGAGATCGTGTCCGTCATATGCATTGTGATCTGGATCTAGCAAGGATTTCTCTATACAAGGAGGGAACTCTCTCCGGTGAGTCATGTAGAACCGCCACCTGATTCGCAAATGTCGAAACGCGGAAAGCATTCATATTATGCTGTGTACCAGAAGGAATGTCTCTTAAGAGCTCGGCACCTAGAGATGCTTTTGTTTCGTAGTCGAGATATACACGCGATCCACCAATCTGAAAGCTAAAGAGTCTAGTTACGATCAACGTCAGCAATGCAGTGCCTCGTTCAGCAATAAGCCATCTCTTTTTGAGGATCTGCGCCGTTGCCAAGGCTCATATCGAGGCATGGATCTGGCCATCGCAGGTGGGCAATCGAATTGAAGGACAACGCTGACTGCATCATGCGTATTCTTCGCACTAGTCCAAGAGGATGGAATGGCTTGTCATCGTATGACTCCCAAGTGAGGACCAAACCAATCTTCGTTGTAAAGTCACCGCAGCGTTTCATGAACCATGCGTCCCATTCATGAACCATCCAACAATAGGATGAAATCCAACGATCGATGCCCAGCAATATCTGAAGCTTTACATAGAACCTCAAGGTAATTGGATCTTGAGGTAAATGTATCGAGACCCGGTAATATTCTTTCGTGTGATAACTTGAAGTGCTTCAGCAGCAAGGCTGAAGACACAAGGGAATAGCCCTTGGCGGCCAGTCCTGGAGACTCACCACTCGTGTTTGGAAACTCAGGAGAGGCTAACGGTTCAATAATTTTCAAGTTCTCAAAGATTAGCTCTCCTTTGAGACACTAATAGGACAGTTCTTGAGAGCGATAATTAAGAATGATCCTCTAGGAGGCTGTGCGAGTCAATCCAACCATACTGAATATAATAACACTATTCACGCGATGTAGGGCAGGGTCATGATTATGCAGCATTGAGACTGCCTGCCATATTGACCAGCAGGATAATGCTCTTTTTGTGGCCAGAGGAAGTGTTATTGGATCCTGAAGCAGAAAACAGTGCAGATTAATCCTTTGAACACTGGTGTTGCAAAGTGTATTCCGTAGAAACAAGCCCATTGTCGCGAATATCTGCAACTAACGACATCTTGATCAGTGATAACTCTCCATCAGACGGCACAATGGGAAATTTGGGCCACCTACTGAAGCAGTTACATCATACGAAATTGTCTGAGAGCGACAAAATGACATCTGAGAACTTGACTCGATAGCACAGCATGCCGGTAAACAGATTGTCATTGAGAATATGAAGAATATGAGGATTGATCATTGGATCCTGAGGCAATGCTTTCCAGGGCGTCAAATCGAACTCTTTGAGCCTAGCGCGCCAAGACGGCGAAAACCAGCCAACAGCCGGGATGCCGAGGCAGTTAACTCTTCCCGCCTCTCTCAACTCTGGGGTGCAATCGGTGAATCTCCCCCGGTTTGCGGGTTCGCTGGGCAATAATATGTAATTAGATCAGGATGCCCTTTTTGCTTTTTAAGTCTGCTCTTCCTCATTCTTCTCCTTGCTTGGTGTATTTGTTGCTCTGGTCTGCCGTTACGGAGGATATTTCCATCACTGGGGTCATTCCCCGCATTGTCCTCCCCACAACTCCAACTCACGATGCCAACCAAATCATCATATCCGCCCATCGACATTCCAGATGTCGACATCTGGACGCTATTGTTTAATCGCAGCGGCAGAGAATTTCCAGATGACAAGAGTACGTTCCATCTAGAATTACTTGCTTTTTTTCTTTTCCAAGCACATACGCGCGCTCAAAATATGAACTGGATAACTAACTAATGACTATTGCCAATAGTAATATACCAGGACGCCGAAACCGGTCGTTCCTATACGTTTGAACAAGTCCGATCCACAGCTCTCGATTTCGGTAAAGGTCTCAAGGCAAATTGGGCATGGAAGAAGGGCGATGTCCTTGCCGTCTTCTCCCCGAACACGATTGACATTCCACCCTTAACATGGGGGACCCATTGGGCAGGCGGTGTCGTCACCCCTGCCAACCCAGCGTATACTGTGGACGAACTAGCCTTCCAGCTCAAGGGCACAAAAGCAAGAGTTCTGGCGACTCAGATGTCTTGCTTGCCCACGGCTATCAAAGCTGCAAAGAAAGCGGGTATCCCAGAGGACCAAATAATCCTAATCGGCGATGAGAGGCACCCAACTGCCAAACACAAGCACTTCACATCCATTCAGAATATCTCCCGTGCCACCCGATATGCTAAAACTAAAATTGACCCTGCCAATGATCTTGCCTTCTTGGTCTATTCCTCGGGCACTACTGGTGTACCAAAAGGCGTCATGCTGTCGCATAAGAATATTGTGACGAATATCTATCAACTGAAGGCTGGAGAGGAAGGAAATTTAACTTGGAACGGTGGCGCTGATGGAAAGGGAGACAGGCTACTGGCATTTTTGCCGTTCTACCATATCTATGGTAAGAAACTTTCTGATTTTACACTAGTTAGGAAAAACGACTGACATAAACGCTCAGGTTTAACATGCTTGGTCCACAAAGCTATCTTCTCCGGACTACACCTTGTGGTCATGGCCAAATTCGACATCGAACGGTGGTGTTCGCATGTCCAAAATTACCGAGTCACGTTCTCCTACATCGTTCCTCCTGTCGTCCTCATGCTTACAAAACATCCAATCGTAGATAAATACGACCTTTCCTCCCTCCGCATGATGAATAGCGGAGCAGCGCCTCTCACTCGCGAACTCGTTGAGTCCACCTATGCTCGCATCAAGTGCGCCGTCAAGCAGGGCTACGGACTCAGTGAGACCAGTCCTACAACGCACACTCTGCCATGGTCCGACTGGCGGCGACGTGCTGGCTCTGTTGGCAAACTTCTTCCAAACTTGGAAGCAAAGTACATGACTTCTCCAGAGGACGGCTCTGAGCCACAAGAAGTTCCCGTTGGGGAAACTGGCGAGCTCTACGTGCGCGGACCTAATGTGTTTTTGGGGTACCTGGACAATCCAGCGGCCACTGCTGCTTGTCTTTCGCCTGACGGCTGGTTCCGTACTGGAGACGTTGGTCACGAAGATTCAGAGGGCTTCGTCTACATCACCGATCGCGTGAAGGAACTTATCAAATACAAAGGATTTCAAGTTGCACCAGCGGAACTGGAGGGTCTCCTTACCGATCATGAAGCAGTCGTGGATGCGGCGGTGATTGGCATTGAGAGTGCTGAGCATGGGACTGAGGTTCCTCGAGCCTATATCGTACCCAACCCGGAAATCATTCCTCCTGAACGACGCACAGCGGAAGAAGGGGAAACGATTGGTCTGTGGCTTCATGCAAAGGTTGCTCCATATAAGCGGTTACGCGGTGGAATTCGATTTGTTGATGAGATTCCGAAGAGTGCGAGCGGGAAGATATTAAGGCGGCTGTTAAAGGAGATAGCCAAGAAAGAGGACGCACCTGTTAAGGCGAAGCTATAAGAAGGCACTCGAGCTTCTCGACAATGTGTTTTGAATCACGAATTATAATTGAGCGGGGTGTACCATGTAGTTATATACCCATTTGCTTGTGTGTTTGTGAAGATTATGAAGCACTTAGCGTAGAGATACATCTACTTGGGTCATATATACTTAGATATTCAACAATACAGCTAAAGTATAAAAAGAAAAAGCATGATGAACCTGGCAGGGATCGAACCTGCAATCTTCTGATTCGTAGTCAGACGCCTTGCCATTGGGCCACAGGTCCCGTGATCGAATAATTTTTACATTTTAGAAAAATAAACCACTGAACAAAAAAAAAGCTAGCTTGGGGTCTTTAACCTCAACGTTCAACATCGAAGCCACCAAAGCTTTGCTCGAAACATACATCCTTTAATCAATTCCAGCGGGAAACCCCTTGCTCTTCTCTCGAATGAGTACATACCTTAAGAGAATTGGTTTGCAGTTGAGTTTCCGGCCCGTCTTCCCTCGAAGCCCCCGCGACGGACCCTGCACACTCATCTAAGTTTGTTCACTATCCATGGAAGAAGCACTGGACTATGAAGCAAATAACAGCTTCTTAGGATTGTGTGTGCAGCATGGAGCCGTATATCCATGCTAGATAAGCCAGGATTCCACGAGGGTACCATATGCCCGTCCTTTTCGTCTCTGTTGCTCTGCTCTCTTTAAGGGCTCTTATTCCAATATAACAGCAGGATTTTAGGATATCACAGCTCTTTCCAGTAGATCTACTCTGCTGGTGATAACTGTTCCTGTGTTTCTCATTCTTGAAAAGTATTATTTTTTATGAGAAGACACCATATATTGTTGTATCAGCTCTGGATTTCTTTCTTTTTGAATAATCGATACGCAACACCTTTATATTGTAATTTAAAAGCAGCTCTGTCCAAGCTAAGGCAGTTGGGTAGGGACTCTTTGAAATCCAGCAGCCAGAATCTGAAGCATACTGTCGCCGGGAAGTCCCGCAGTTGTTTGAGCAGCTTGTGTTGCTAACTGTCCACTTGTCAGTGCCAGGAAATATATCACAATTTTTTTTTTAGGCTGTCAGGTGAATTGAAAATATTCACATTGTGTTGACGCACCTCCAGCCCTGTTTTTATTTCCTCTTTTTCCTCACTCTCAACCTTCTGTTTTCTTGTTAACCACCTCCTATCGCCGCGGCGACCATCTAGCTCCACGCGTGCTATTACCCCGTGGGGATCAAACCTCTGGAAACCTTTAATACCAGAGTCTTGGGTTTGTTCTCTTAGGAAAAACGGTATGTTTGATGTGCTCTTGTCAGTACCTGGCAACATTCTGTATAAGACTCTGCAGGAGATGGAGACTTTGGCTGAGTATGCAGCTAACCTTCTTTCACGGTGCAAAGTCGCCTATGTTGTTCCTAGCAGTTCATTAAATACAGCGAAAATGGCCGATATTCTACAGGAATTGGAAATTGCAACATCCTGCACTACGCCAGAAATAACAATTTCTGGTCCTTTGAATATTGTATCAGCCTACAGTAGTTCCAATACTGAAGCAGGAGACGAATCTCATCAATACAATGAACAGCATGATGGCGATAAGATCGGAACGAAAGCTGACTTGGCCGATGAAAGCAACCCTCCCTACCTTTCAGTCAAGGGCCAGCTTAATACCCAAAAAGAGTCCGAAACTTCCAACGCTTTCGATTCTGAGAAAAGAAAGGACATTAAGAAAGGACTCACCTTGGTTTCTCTTTTCAAACGGCTCTCAGTCACCGGGAAACAGTCACAAGAACTGCAACTCGTTGAAAAAGATGCCTCAAGAACGGGTTGCAAGATTGTTTGCATGTCAGTAGATATTATGTTGGAAATTCTCGATCACTTGGATTTCACTGATCGCGAAGTCCTCCGGTATACTTGCAGGGCTTTCTACTATGGACTTCCAGCCCTTAATATCCGGCCTGAGCTGCACGGCCAGTGCATGATAGCCCGAATCTTCCGCCGCTTGTACAACACCTCTCTCTTGCCAAACGTTCGCGAGGGAAATCAACTCCTCACCAAAGCGGAAGTTCGAGACAAGCTAGAAAGGCAGACTCAATGCGTTTTCTGCACTAACATCTGGCCTCGCGGTTCTCAGCTTCATTGTCCTTTCCATACACCTCTCGAATATTGTGCCCCGCAGCCGCCTTCCGGCCTTAAAAGGCTCACTGAATTCCTCAGTCCGTCAAGGATCCGCTGGGCAATGGCGCTTCGCGGCGAATTGACTCCCCAGACCCAGGCAGAATTTATCGCCAGAGACCTCCAAAGCAGCTCAAACCGTCGTCGATCACGCCAAGTCGGAGGCATTCCCTGCAGGTTTGTGGGGTCGTGGGCTGAGTTTCTACTGGCAAGGGAATGGGTTCGCTGGGACGGGGGCACGTACTTTGGGAATGCAGCAAATCCCAAAACAGCGGGGAAAACCAAGAAAAGATTCGCCAAGGTCGAACCGGAGCTCACCAAGCTGTACTGCTGTAATCATTGCTATAATGTGCTGCCGGATAATGATTCTTCAAGGCTGTGCGCGCGGTGTGACTGTGCTTTCTGCGGCTGGACTGGTATAGATCTTGTCAGGGTTGTGGGCCGAGACAATCGAGTCCGATATGTGCCGTTGGGAATCCTGGTGAAAGACGCCGAAGGAAAGGACAAAGAAGGCAAAAAGGTAGCGAACAAAAAGGGAAAGTCTCCAGAAGAGTGAGATTATTTCTTTTCTGACAATCTCTTTGTCTTCTTTCTATTTTGCTGGTTTTCTGCATAAGAAAATGAACTTGGACGCAAAAATGTTTTCTTTCTAGCCGCATTGATCATACCTTCAATGAACTAAAATAGGGCATATGAATGGGGGGTTACAGCAAATTCGGCGGATCTAAAGATAAAAAATTTTCAACAGTGACCAACTTGGTCTTGTTTCTTCTCTGTTTTATGTCTGACAATGGTTCAGTTGTTGGTCTTCCCCTTGGATTCTCGTGTCAATCTTACTCATAGGGTCAGGTCACAACAGGTTCTTCCGTGCACTGGTTAATACACATAGTTGCTTAAAGAGTTCAATTTCCATGGCCCTATTACAGATGGAATTATTCTTCACAAACTAAATCTTAGAACACATTAATTGATTGAACAGTTGTAGACTCAGGTGATGTGCCTATCAACACAGCATAGCATTCATGGTAGATATATATATGAAGCTATTATCAACTTTCCAGATGTTTCCACCATATTAAGGTTTCCTACTGGCCGAAATATCAACCATTAAAACATTTTGATCGTGAAGATGGTCGGTCGAAGTGTGTTGGGTTGTGTATGTTGTTTTTCGTTTCCATATATGTAAACAGTCGTCGCCGCGTCGATATCTCGATTAAAAATTGTATGCTCGTCCCGTAAATTCCGCAGTTCCAGTCTTCTCCAATTGGTTCATTCTAACACACCGAACACCCCTTCCTCCACTCAGTCACTTCCAATAGCAAGGATTACTGTCCATTTAGACAGGGCAACGGGTCTGCAGTGGGACCTCGGAGCACAGAGCGGGTGGTGGCTGGGTCCAGTCGTTGCAAAGCACATTGCACTCCGTATTCTCGGCAACGAAAACCAAGAACTCGTAGTTCTGGAATGGAAGACGGAGTTGTCTGGGGTCGTTTCCGGAGAATGCTTTATATCCGGCTCGGCAGGCGCAGTGGAAGTTCTTGCCCGTGTTAATGCAGGAGGTGGTTGGGTGGCAGTTATTCTTGCCAGAAATTGGGTTGCAGGTTGGGCAATATGGTGCAGCCGCAGCGAGCGTGGTGGTCGCCAGGAGAAGGAGGGCACCGAGAGTCTTGAAGATATGCATCGTGCTCGAGTATTGTTTGAAGGTACAATTTCAATATGAGAAAAGTGAACACCTTTCGTTGGGTAAAGTATTTTGATGGACTGAAAAGATGAAGCAAGCAGCAAGCAGCCCAAAGAACCTTTGGCCCTTTATATACTCCGTAGCTTTCTCGTAACCCCGCAGAATGCTTGGGAATGAAGACGAGTACGAAGTATGTCTCAGCAACGCAAAAACCTGTTGATGCTAGTCCATGTGGATCCCATCAATCCAAGGGTCAGAGATGTATTGTATTGTTCATGGGACGTCCAGACCACGAAGTAGATGCCCATATGCAGTAAACAGAGAAAGAAAATACGGTGTAGATAGACAGCGTCTATACCTGTAGGCTCGGCTCGAGAGATCCTATTCTTAGTTGTAAGACATTTGAGATAAAAAGCTCTGGATGCATGCTTCAGCCACTAACTAGGATTGAATAGCTCCGAGAAGTGGAGAGATCGGAAAAAGTTCGCTCATCAAGCTTGCTGGAAAATAATCAACCGATCGCCATGTCTAACCACTGCTCGCGAGCCAAGTGTCTCAGACTACCGCAAGCCTTTCAGGCTCCAGAGGTTCACCACGACCGTCGTGAAAGGAAGTGCTGCATTGATAGAACTAAAGAGGGTAAACAGGACAGAATGTAGTCAAGCAGAGTATGTGCACTTGGTCAAAAAACAACCATGTGTTCGAAGGATGGATTACATCACTTCACACTTAACGATGACAGCGTAACAGTTACCTCGTGGCCGAGCACGAATATCGGGAATGCCAATTGGTCTTGAACTGAATCGGAATCCAATCTTCGGAGCTACTGGTCAGCTGCATGAGGAAACAACCGTGTAGTCGATCTGCAAACTGAGTTTCCTTTTTGGCTTGCCATTCGCTGGGTTTCTGCTCGGTTTCTGCTGTGCATAACTGGTTTTTGGTCATGGATATCACATTTTAACCAGAACAGTGGCAAAGACTAGATAATAGTTATTCGGTAACGAGCAGATTACCGCTTCAGAATGATCTGTTACGCATGATCATGACCTGGAATGAAGCAATAAGGAATAGGCCGGCTACTGAAACAAAGGCGTTAAGAGTAGTACACATTACTCGACAACGAGCTAACAGTATTATCTGATGATGTAATGGAAGTCAGGCCATTTGCCAAATTGCCATAGGACCCTTGCTGAGCAAGGCTGGCTGCTCGCTTCGCATACACTGTATCCATGGGCAACGGCTCGTGTTTTGGTAAGGCTGGTAAGGCCTATTCCCTGTTGCTCAGCGGGGTTAGTGACCAGGTTGCCAGGAAGACGAATGGGCCAGAACTTACAAATACCTAGGAAACAGACAAATGCCTGCAGAATAAACAAGTCATATAAGTCAACTGCGTGTATAACGCAAGAAAGAGAAACATCGCGGATG